AAGAGTTTTATCAGGAATAAGGACTGTGATCATTAATGTCTCCAGTCAACACTGATGGATGATTGCTTTGATTACAGAACTGTTTTCCTGACAGTTCAGAGTCGCATATATTGCAGAGCACCGGTGCCTACTGTGCATCTCTGGTATGGCTGAGTAAAGCACTTGTTCATTTGCAGTGAAGGGTAACATGAAACAGGCCTCAGCCTTCTGATGGACAGAGAGATTTCACCTTCGCCAGTGAATGATAATGCATTATTAAATTTGCCTCTCTGCTCACTAGATACACTTAGCTGACCACAGCATATTTATCTCCCCATCCGAGGCTCACGTCTTGGCAGGAGAAAGCATTCTGTCACTTTTGAGGCATTTCAAAGATTAAAAAGAACCTCTCTCTTTTCAGCGTTCCTAAAAGCATCTCCCCTTTTCTGTGAAATGTGATTAGCAGGAGATGGTGTCACGCAATGGAACATTCATGAGGGGGAGAACAAATATCCAAATGAACTCCCATGTCCTCGAGGAATAGCCCCTCTCTGCACCATCAGCAATCTCTCTCACATGGGCCGGGAAAATTTGATTGATCCTCTATTGAATTATTTTTTTGCACTCTTTCATTTCAACAGGACACACTGACAAGTTGTTTGATCATAAAGCATTATTGTCTGCCAAGTCACATTTCAGGGTTGTGATGGCTAATGATCTTGCTTTCTGACTTAGGGAAAGTAAGGTAGTCAGCATGTGTTTGAAGCTTGCAACACCAAGGACATCGAGAGGACTGAACAAAACACTATGCATTAAAGTCAGGGAGATGAAGAGAGAAGGAGCTTACACAGAACACAGCAAACTTTTAATGATACTGTATGGTGATATCATCAATGTCAGTGAAATATTTACGCCCTGAAAAAGAGCACAAAACTGATGCTAAAACTTTTTGCCTGACCCAAAGTCCCTTAGCTTCCTTTTTATCATCACAAATGCTTATGCAAAGAAGGAACTGAACAAAGACTACAAAGGCTAGGAATCACTTTTTTTGTCTTTTTCATCTTTTTTCAAACTATGTGCGCCCTCTCTACATGAGCCCTTCAGCGTCCACAGGTCTTTGCCAAAAGCAGCTGAATGGTAATAGACCATGACATTGCTACCTGCTCCACTTCATCATTCAGACTGTAAACTGGGATTGCAGGCAGTGCACAATGCACCAGCCCTAAGCACATCAACCGGAAATCCAGGCAGCACCCTGACAAAGAAAAGATGTGGCAAAATCGGCTTTGTCCGTTGTGGTCACGCCGGTGCTTGATCCATCAACGATTGCTCAGTTGATAGCAGGTATGAAAGGATGCACCTCTAGGTGACATAATACACCACAAGCTTCCATTTGTGCTGGGGAGGACATTATGAGTGCATCTCCTGTTGTGTTAACAAGGATATATAACATTTGCCCGGGAAGTGCCAATATCATATTACCAGTGATTCACCCGCTTTTAAAATATGGTTTACGGAATCAGTTTACATACTGTAGTAGCCTCCGACTCTTTTGTCCGGCATGTTAGCTCTGCATAAAAGAGACGTGGCCTGTTTAACTACAGTGGTCGGGATGAGGTAAGGCAGTGAAATTTGTTGTTGGCAAAATGCTTAAACTGCCACATGGCATTTAAAGAAACTCCTATAACCTCCATACATATGGCTTGTGTTTCAAATACCCTTTTCCCCAAGGAAATAAAATGATGTCAGGTGTTTGATGTCTAAAGTGAGTTTGCAGCCAAAGGCTTCCGTACCTTTCAAAATTCCCCTTATTTGTCAACTACCTGCTGTTCATGAGACAGAGGCTTGTCGGAAGCTATTGCCACGGACTTTTTCGTTTGAATCAATTCAATTAGTCACATGTGAGATAACACTTTTCTACTGGCCTTTTTTCCCCCCTCATGCATCATCTAATCCCCCTTTTTTCAGGCAAAATTTGGACAAAATATAATCAAGTTCAAACAACAGCTCAAAAAACACTACCATCTGGCTCCTCTGCACTTGGTGACACAACTTTTTTAAACAACAAACAGCCTTTGTCCTTCATCACCAGAGATGACATGAAAAAGACGAGACATGTTCATAGAATATGAGTGATGTGACATTATAGTGGCTGCTTCTGAGGTGTCTGGCTATTCAAATAGCCTCGGTATGAGGCGGGGCACAGCTTCCTTCCTCTGCGCCTACTGTGCTCTCTTCTAAGACTGTATTGCAAGAGATTAATTTAATGCTCTGCCAGGATCATAAAGATCAAACAAGTGGAGAGATATCATTAAACCATTGGAATGTTATCTCATTTATCTAAACAAACTGATGCAATGAACAAGCCTAATTAAAAAGCTCACCATAAACAAAGCTTCGGATGGAGAGGCCTCTCCACTGTTTAACAATGGCACACATTTATTTTATTAATCTAATGCATCATGTGTCATATCATTACAGTTCAATATATCTATCATTAATTTTATTCCCTTCATTTAAAGCTTTTATTGGAATTACTTTGGTTATTAGTTGGTTCTAATGTATTGGTTACCTCTGAATCTGGCTGCAACAATCTCTCTTATCTCGCTGCATAAACCTGTGCGTGTTATTCAAATTGCCTCATTTATTATGATAGCTTCCTCATGTAAATTGTGCTGACTGCTCGCCCTTGCACAGTCCTCATTAGACTAATGAAAACCTTCAAACGAAAAAACTAAACAACCTGCCAAATAAAGGTCTGGGGTTATTATGAAAATTACAACTGTGGGAGCCGGGAGAAGCTCTCTTCATTAATTCATGCTCAGCAAATTGGTAACTAATTTAGTTGCACTCCTCTGCATTAATGGGTTATTTTATAAAAATGTTTTCCACAGCCCGAGACCTCTGGTGCACACACTGGAGAGCTCAGAATCCTAATCAAGTCCAGTGACATATTAGGAATTGACAATCTCAAAGATAATACAGTGAGTGTTTGCAGCTAGATGTGTGTGGGTCAACTATCTAAAATTGGTGTGGATTGCCGGGTCATTTGCTTTCTCCACTAATATTGCAAAGGAATTACAGTCCATTTGTGTTGATTATCTGAGTATAGAGGAGGCACTTCAGTTAAGAAGTAAGATTTCTGCTATTGAGGAAACATTAAAAAGATTTACTATGTGGATATGTGGCTGCTTTCTCTGTGTTGCTCTGTTTGCCTTTTTTCTGAACACACTTACACGCACACACACCCTCACACGTGTACAGACAGACAGTCTGTGACCCATAAATTCAGCTCGTGATCCTGCTAATTATTACTATTCACTGTTTCACACCCTTTGAGCGAGGGTCTAACACTGATCTTCACATCAGCCTTGCCAACAGGGAACATACAGTCCAATGATTTCCATAGTGGTTTTAATATCATTATCAGCCTCACCCCACCCTGTATCGCCCAGCACAGTACAGCACAGCTCTGACAACACCAACTGAGAATACTAAAATCTGTTATTTGCTTCATTTTGTATTTAATTCATCACTAGTAGTAGATTTCTGTTTCTTTCATTTACCTCTCCTTTTTTAATTGCACAGCAAAATTCTAATTGAATAAGCCCAGCAAATAATACTTACTTTACTTAACAATGTGACTGAGGTTAATATTTTGAATATTCTTCCCTAGTGGGGATGACAGGAAACAGCACATGTGAGGAAGTCGACTCTTTTATAAGGGTCATTATTTCCCATATTTATGATATATGTGTTAATTTGGTTTTTAAAATCTGATGCAAAATGCAATCATGCAAAATCAGTGTGAAAATCAAATTAGGCAAAGCCTATCTGTAACGTTAACGATCAGTAGTCGCACTGTTTAATGTTTTTGTAATTACTTAAAGAACTTGGAGACTGAGCAGCATAATCAGCAGTTCTTCTGGTGCCCTCTCTTTTTTCTGCTTGTTTGGGCCAAGCACACCTGTTTACTGGAACTGGAGTGAATCACAGCCTCTTATAGCAGAGGTCATCGGTGCATAAGCTCTAAGGGAAAACTGACTTTAAGTGATTTTAAGAAACCTATCTTTTGCAGAAAAATGTTCAAAACAATCTATCTATAGATTTTAACTGCAAGAAGGTGCCATTAGAAGTCATCATAGCATGTGTAATATAGGGCTGATATACGCCATAAATGTAAACCATCTACAGCAGATAAACACAGTGACACCTTTACCTCAGTGGAGTTCCAAAACAAAGGCTGCTCCAACCAGCAACACATGACATTTCAACCAAATATTTATATACCTACACACACATCCACACATTAAGGTGAGAAGCCTGTGGGTGTCCCTGGATAGTTAAAAAGTATTATTACAATGATACAACATACACCCAAATAAAATGGAAGCAAGAAGAGGAGAGAAATGAATGAATAATATAATAATAACATTAATGAGGGTGACTGCCAAAAACATCTCTAATTGTATTTTCAATATTCAAGACCTTAAAAGTTATTTTACAAAGTTACAGAAATAATGTTTGTTTGTTTTTTTTTTTGTTTTTTTTACAAAAAAAAGACTGCACTCGGCATGCAGACTGTTCTCTGAGAGCTCAACAGTTTCTTCGGATTTATTTATTTTTTCAGTAATGACAATGGAGTTATCTTCTGTTGAAACTGGCATGAAATGTCTTCTGTCGTAGTTTATTAAAATTCAGCCGCTCTGATCAATAACGTCTCAGATACTTTAACCAAATGTGGGTTCCTTGTCTCATTTTGTGATTCTGTGATATTAACTTGGTCCAGACTCTTCTGCAGACTTACAGACATGCTCTGCTCTCCTTAAACTGGTGAGCCTTCATCTCTGTTATTGGACATAATTCCCAGAATTACACAAAACATCATAGGCTTCTAGAATAAAGCCAGTCCAGTACAGCATATTCAGCCACTGCAGAAAACTCGTGTTGATAAATACACCTTCTGTACTGTGTAAAGTACACCATTCTGTCACACTACCTAACAATAAAACTTAACCCACCTTTGTCAGTGTGCATCCTCTTTACTTCGTGGCTCATGTCGTGGGCCAGGTCTCCTTCTTTAGGCCCAGGCGGGATGTTGGGGGACAGGCCCAGGAGGGCTTGGTTCATGGACAGGCCATTGTGGTGTGCCGCTGGAGAGAGGAAAACAAAACAAAAGTGACATTACTAAGGACACATATTTTGGATCCTTATCTGTGTGACTAACTGTGTGTGGAGGTAGTACAATGACATACGTATCCTGTCTGAGGAGCTTTCTGTGTGGGCTGGGGAGCTGGACACGCTGCTGCTGCGGTGGGATGAGGGGTGGCTGCCTGGCCTCCTGTTGTCTTCTAAGGAAGGAGCAGGGGAGGGACTGTCCGGCACACGTTCCTGCAGCCCCAGCAGCCACAAAAACACACACACACACCCCCAAAATAAATACCCAGTGTAGACTGAGACATTCCACACAGGAAGGAGCGAGCTACATTTAAACCATCTAGTATTATGATGCTTCTGCTTTCAGTTTTAAAATTTACCTTTATAACAGACGTGACCATTCTGGAGGGCAGACTCTGGCCCTGTGCTGCCGCTGCCATGTTTGCTATGGTACTGAGGTGGTTCATCTGGCTCATCGCCATGGTGACAGAGGCTGGAGGCAGGCTGACTGGGATCAGGGGGTGTGGCATCATCATGAAGGGGAGTTCCAGGCCTGAGACACATGAAGAGGTCGTTGGTTACTCAATGATGCATGTTATGAGTAAGATATTCACAGGGGAAACTTCTGAGGCTCTGGCTGAAAACTCTAAACCTGCTGCTGTTAATTCAGCAATCAGCAATTCCCACCACCGAGATACCCTTTAAAATTGGTGTCCAATAACAGTAAAGCTTTACACCACCATCCATTAGGAATAAAATGGAATAATTCAAATTAATTGCTTCTCGGGTATCTTTCCATGTTAACATAATACATATAAATGTTTAACAACATACAGTATGTTAATAATAGATACTACTGCAATAATAATAAAGAAAACGGGGATGATAACTATATACAAAGTCATTCAAAGACCAAAGTTTACACAGCAATAAAGATGCATCAATTATTCTGCGATGAATAAAAAGGGCACATTATGGAAATCGTCTCAATATTTACATAGAAAAAAATTCTTCTGTAAAAACAAAGGCAATCTCGAATGCCATTACCCAAATGACTAGTTAAATGTGCTAATGACAAACCAGTTAGACTACAATATGGCAATGACTTTAGGCTAATTATAGAAGCTTATATTTCCAACCAGAGAAAGGGAGAGAAGAGAGCGAGACCAAAAGGAGTAAAGTCACTTTCAGCTCCACACAATAATGGGAATTTCATTTCTTTTTATTTCTTTCTCTTTTATAAGCACACAAATTATTCCATTACAGCATCAGAGATATCTTGCAAATGTTTTAAATTATTCAATTGCTGCCTCGCAATAGATGCCTAATTGGGAAAATTGAAGACATTAGCAGTCTGAAAATGTAAAGAATGTCTAATAAAGATACCATAGGGGGTTAGTAGTTAGTCGAACCGTGGCCCTGCTCTGTGCTTCTGAACGGCTTAATGACAACAAGCCAACTTTCAAAGGACATAAGCGCAGACAGAAGGTCAAAGCTAGGTGTCGGCACCTCCCCAACTACACACACCCCCCCCACCCCCTGCTCTATGGGGACTTTGAACTGGCAGGATCAAAAGTGACTGGGAACAGTTTGGTCTCATTCCTCCACCACTCAGATGTGTTTCCTCAAATGCTTTAAAGAAAACCTCATAGACACTATTGGATCTGACTGAGCCTCTCTGTTGATTTTTCACTCTTTTTTCTCTCTTTCTTGGCAGCACGGTTCAAGGGAAAAAAGCTATGTGAAAGAATGGGGGGGGGCGCTACAGAAAGCTGATCCACAAAACAACTCCACTCCTCTTTTCTGACAAAACATCAGTAGCCAAAGGGCAAGGAGATCTGCATGGCGAAGCCTCTAAAGAGAAGGACACTGGTTGAAAATGAAAGGACATGAGAAGTACTACTCTGTCATTCCTCTCCTTCCAAAAGAAGCATTGATTTCCATAAGAAAGATTGCATGCAGTTTCTCATTGCCGAGTATTCCCAAACAATATAAAGCAGGGGAGATTAAAGAAAGGCGGAAGCCAAGCAGCACCTTGTATCAGCGCCTCTGTTGTAGCTCAGACTGAATCAATTACTCCTCAGCGGGCTATGCTTAATTAAAAAAACACCACAGAGCGTCTGATTGCGGGGGTACTTACTGTAGGACAACGTGGAGAGGTCTAGGCTACCTATGAGCCTTTCAAGGCCACTCAAGGGCCAGAGTGAAGAGACTTATTCTGCCTTTGAGGTGGATACATTACACCCATTCAATCAAACACTGCTACACACATAAAGACACATGTACTTAAGCTGCCAAATTTACAGCAAATCAATAGCAAAGTGTGAAAAAGAGACAAAGAATCACCTAAAACTGCACAGCTCTAATCTCTGTCAAACACATACTTCTTATCTCTTTGGTATATCTTTGACTTGATGGTGTATGAATATGGGGAAAACACCGGACCTCTTTTCACTCTAAGGGGTATTAGTCTCGCTCTCAGAGCCCAGAGTCCAGCCCCTTTCATGTCACCCCATCTTAAAGTGGTGTTTCTCCTGTGAAGGCCCATTCAGGCCACTGTAGGGGAATGTGCCACAGGCCAATGAGGGGCCACCAAATCCCTTTATTTGTTGCTGAAAGGAGCCAGGTGAGGAGGATGTTGCTTTATTCAAGGAACCTGGCATTAATGAAAGCCGGTTAAGTGTTTTTGTTTCATTCATATGCAATTTCTTCCAATTGACTTGATTTACTCTTGTTAAATGAAAGGGTTACAAATAACTGCAGGACAATGCCCTGAAAAAAAATGTACTGTGGCAATAGTATGCAGTGCATTTTGTGTATTTTCCTTTTCTAAAAAACCAAATTGACAAACATTAGTCTGATTCATTATCACTTATATATCACTATATTGTGTAGATACTCCAATGGGCAAACCTTTGGAAATAAATTTGTCAGTTTCTGTTTATCTCCGATACAGAAGTTCAGACCAGATGAGTGGTGAATTCCCACAAGCCCCCCTCTCTCCTGAAGGGCATAAACAATGCATTTGGAGTAATTTACCTGAAGTAAGCCTGAGGGACCTGCAAAGGTGAACTCCTATTTACAATCATTAAAACTACAAATCACTTAATACCGATATAAACAGCTCAGCTATTATGTCATGCAGTGCTTTGGAGTTCATGCATGGATAAGCAAAGATCTGAATCACAGAGGATGAATTTTCTGAATTAAAACAGCCCTTGGTAACAACATGATTAAAAAGCTGTTACATCAGAATCAAATCGCACGTCTGACAGTCAGTCCGATACTTAAAAGAATCACACTGAAACAAGATTGAATGTTGAATGTTTTAAAATAATTAAAAAGAGGGCAGTGATTTATTTTGCTGACAGAAATGATAACCTGCAGTGATTTGTGCTGCAGTTAATCTTCATCTAAACACAGGACTTCAGCATCTGTGGCCATCTATCCCTACAGAGAAAAATAAGAAAAAAGGAACTAAGCCATTGTCAATGAAAATGGTATGGAGGTAGCAGCCAGCCCCTTACCCTTAACTCTGTTGTGGACAGATTTCCCCTGACAAAAATTAAACTAGCTCCTACTTGGCACTTTATTATCTCTTCAACTGAATGATTTATTGTTTGTGGAGCAGAAGAACCAAAGAGAGGGGGAAGATTACATTTCCAGCCAAAGCTCAGGCCTGATCTCGTTTTTTACTCCCTCTGTCCAGGAAAAAAGCTCCCGACAAACAATAATGTCAGCTGTAATTGATCGGAGGTCGCCGGCTGGGCCTGCAGTAAAAGCGCACTATTTAAGCGACAATCGGCCCTGCGCTCTTCAGACGCTGGCTAATGAAGCTGTCTGTCTGGGCTATTTACCTTCTCTTAAATGGAAGGGGAGAGATGTACTGTAAGAGACAGGGCTGGAGAGGATCTGCCTCGCGCTCCTGTGAAATAGGACCTGCACATGCCTGAGGAATGTATAATTGGTTGGCGCAGCCAAAGCTGGGGATCCGGTGCTAATTAAATGACTTGTTTAAAGCCTATCTGTCTTTGTTTGGGAGGCTCTGGGCTTCTGAACAATGCATTGTAAATGCTGTTGTCAAACAAACATTCCTGGTTATCCTTTGATTTGAATTGAACAAGACAAAGGGCTGATTTGTGCTGCACTAAGCCTTTGGTTTTCATGGTGTTGAGATATTTTTTTTCCTCCTCTGATCTGTCAAACTGAACAGGACCATTCTAGTCAAGCAGCTAAATGGACTGACTCACTGCACAATGCGTATGCAGCCCGCCGATGCAAAACAATCTGAGTTTTCCTCCTAATTGCACTTGTAAAATGCCTCCATGTCGTGTATGTATTTCTCCAACAAAGGTGAGACGGTGGCGTGCACACATGGAGCCTTTGTTGTGGTCGTATCAAGGGTTTGCACACTAGTCCCAAAAGGAAATGAATGGCTCATGAAAAAGCGTCTGTCAGGGAGCGAGACATTTAGAGGTCTCTGCATAGCACTAATCATCTTCATCTTTACTAGAACTGTTAATCTCCTACAAAACCAGAAGCCATGTGAGCTGGAGGGAGCCTTATAACCATTAGATCAAACATAAGATACAGCTTCCATAAATATGCTGTCTGGATTCACGTTGGCACTTTACACCAACACAAGCGCATGCTTACTATACATATGCGCTAAAACACAACTGCTTCGACATTCACACACATGCAAACAAGAAAAAAAACAGACACACAGATGGCAGGTTCAGTCAAGGCTGGTGAGTCCTGTTTCTCATTAAAATGGGGGGAGAGAGAGGAAGGTAGCGAGCTTTGATGTAGCAACCCACTGCACCCCCCACCCCCCACCCCAGTGTCACTGAATGAAACTTTAAAGCCTTTTGTGTTTACACTGTTAATGTTTATACTAAAGCAAACATCTTGGCTTTGTTAAATACCTGCTGTACGTGTGTGCACATGCACAAGCAGACATAAAAAGAATACATCTTGCAGTAACAAGGACAGGTAACCATGAAAACATACAGGTACACCCTCCGCGAATGATGCAGTATAGATAATTGTGCAAAGGTATGTACACAGAGCTGGCCAGACATAAAACACATGCAAACAATATGCCTTACATTCCTAGGGCCATGATGACTGGATACATTTCAAGCTAATTCACATAAACAAACAAAATATGTTTAGCATGCCAGGATAAAGAGATACACTTTCCAGTGATTCAGGTAGGCAAAGATTTCCTGCCAAGATGCCTAATGTAATGTAATGTAAGAGAATCCATGATAAGAAAACATTTCTGGTTTGATGAGGTAACATAATTGCTTTCCTACCCAAATCACTGAAGTGTAACATGTGGTAGAAATTATCAAGACGACAGACAGAGGTGTTTGTCCTTTAAGTGTATAAAATCTAAGGCAGGCAACTTTTATAGGATAATTTAAATCCTCGGCTCTAATAGAATGCATTCCTTATGAAAATTGAAAGATCAATCATCTCTTTGACAGATGTGTTGTGGAAAAAGTTCCTTCTATCTTTGAAGAGAAAATGCTAAACACGTTTCAC